ACACACACNCTCTCTCTCTCTCTCTCTCCACACACACACACACACATATATATATATATATATATATATACATATATATATATATATATATATTTAGAATACATATATCGTCAATAAATATCCATTTTTCAATTTGAAGCACGACAGTGATATCAGTTCCATTTCCAAGATGTTTCGCTGATAGAAAATTGGAGTTTCGAGAGGAATGGAGGTTTGGAATGAGGGCTGATCTGTCGTGTATACAAGTTCTGGTTACCGTCACAATACTTACAGAAGTTATTCACACGCCCACGGCCACACACAATTATGAGATCGTAACCTTGATTATATTCTAGAAGCATCGCTCATTCGTTGGACGGAGTGCCTTCATGCAGCCTGTATATATATTCACACAGTCGTGTGCTTTGTAGTTCCAACGACATACTAGTAACACTCGTGGTCGTAAAAACCGTATCTAGTGTAAACTATCGGCTCTGGTAATTTTCTTTCAATCACTGAACGATTTTGTCCTTTTCCAAACATATCGGTGTGTGTATCTACAGGGTCGTGTGCATTGCATTCCCGGTGACAAACTAGCAGTACGTGGTGCATAAAATTTAAGCTTGATTTAACTTCAACTGTCGACTCGAGGCTGGTATCGTTCACTCATCGAACGAAATTGGATTATATAAAATAGTGTGTATATTTTGGGCTTCAGAGCATTTGCACAGACAGAATGTGGCACATATACTTTGAGTCCGTATCTGACTTAAAAACTGACAGCTCTGCGCTAGCATCGCTCACGCTTTGAACGGCATTATGGCTTTTAATTGTCGGCTTTGGGTTGGGCTGGAACCTGGAATGACATGCCCTGGCGGGCCTTCCACCTCCTATATTGGTCGTCTCTATACTTGAGATTGTTGTCGTTCTGTAGATTATCGGCACTGGAAAAAAAATATTTACAATAGAAGACAGCTCAGTCATTGCTATGTATGTATAGGTATAGTATGAGATAGATCAGAATGGCAATGGACGAGGATATAAATATATTGCTTTCCATTTCTTATAATAGTCGTCTATGTATAGCTTCATTCTCAAATCACATAAACCTAGCAAGCAACTCCAGCCACAGCAGAGATCATTAATAGTTCACAGTATGCGTTGCAAACACAATGTAAATCGATTTGTTACTGTGGTGATACAATTTAATTCTCAAAGTGTAGATTGAGATTGTATCGCGGACCATCTCACAAACGTAAGTGTGTATATTTATTGAATTAGATTGAGGTAGGTACGGTAAGGTGTCAACATGTGTGTTTACGGGAACATCAGATTTGCCACACCAATATAACACGAATTTATCAACAAGGAATGCACATAAGGCGTAGATAGAATGGGCATACTTGGTATACAGCAGGTAGCAGAAGAAGGAGACAAAGCCCACCACATGGCCTCCAATCCAGAAGGGCGAGAAACGTTCGACTGTGATAAATAGCAAGCAATAAGTCAGTGAGAGGGGGAGGAGGAAGGGGGGGAGGGGTAAACTGAGACTTAAGTCAGAGATGGAACGAAAGTATAATCGACAAGCAGAGGCAGACATAACAACATATATTGATAGTAGTGTGAGGAACCACACGTTGGTATGGTTAAATATACAGAGACAGATGTAAAAACATACACTGTTAGTAGTGAGAGGAACCATATGTATACTTATAAGCAGAGGCAGACGTAATAACATACATTGATAGTAGTGTGAGGAACCACACTCTGGTATGATTAGATATACAGAGACATAAATAAAAACATACACTGATAATAGTGAGAGGAACCACACCTATGTATGGCTCATATAAACTTATAAGCAGAGGCAGACGTAATAGCATATATTGATAGTAGTGTGAGGAACCACATTTAAATATACAGACACAGACGTCAAAATATACAATGATAGTAGTGTCAACATGTAAACATGTAACCTGCACACCTGTGACGAGTCATTTACAGTCATATACTCCCCCATCACAAACCATAAGAGAATGAGCAAACAGACACACAAGTGGAAAAGGACGAATTGGCACATGAGTTCTCCTGTGAATATGTACGCGTAGAACTATAGCTTACCTTTGGGCAGAATGAAGTACCACGGGATAAGTGTCATCATTGCGGAACTGTTCAGTACCATGATGTCAAACGAATCCTCGCACTATTTGTCCAGATAGATGATGGAAGCAGGGAAAGGAACGTAGGCGAAGGCATGCCGTGTTAGACCACAATGTGGCAAAAATGAAACAAAGACACCGTTTCGAAGAAAAACAAACCGCAAATACGTATGGCGCATATATATACATATACATATACATACA